GAACAGTGAGCATGGAGCATCAGAGTGTGAGCCACCAAGGTGATCTTAGTACATTTCAGGCTGATATGTATGTTTTATATTCTCAAGCCAACAGTCTTCAACATCCATGCTTACCACAAATGAGGTCCTAGGTTCAGTGCCCAGCACCTAAAACCAAAACCAGAAACAAAACACCTAAAGGTACAAGCCTGACTTCTCCTCAGGAAACTTAGGCAGATCCACCAGACACTTGGAGAAGGCACTGTTGTGCTTGCCATAATAGTATTTGGGAGCCTGAGGCAGGAGAATCACTGCAACTGACAGGTCAGCCTGAGCTACAGAGTAACACACTGTCAGTTTAAAAAAAAAAAAATCTACCACGGAAGCCTTTTCCAATTCTCCTCAAGTCAATTTTTATAAGGCTCTGAATTTCTAAAAGAATTTCCTATCGACCACTAGACTGCCTTTAGAAAGCTGTTTCCTGTTCAGCTAAATCAAAATCTGCAGTCTCCGTTTCGGAACTGAGCTAAAGGAAGTACTCAACTAGCTGCAGACTCTGGTTTTCAATAACAAGCAATTTGAAGTGCCCAGAGCTGCTGTCCTTCCTGCACACAGACAGCAGGGTGTCTCTCACAGTGAGCACACCATTCACCTGGTGGCAGTGTTGAATATAGAGAAAGTAGGGCTCCTGTGACCCCCATCCCATCCTGCACCCCATCCCTGGTACTTCTGGGTCCTAAGGACATCCCCATCTTATGGATTCCCTGACTCAAGCCTGAGATGGGTCACAGATCACTTTAGAGATCACCAGGAGCAAGAATCGAGTCTTTGGGCCAGCAATGTAGCTTGGTAGGTAAAGCACTTGCTTGCAAGTCTAAAAACTGAATGTGGTTTGGTTTAGTTTTGATTTTACTAGAATCCATGTAAAGGTTTTAGAAAGAAAGAACTGACTCCACAAAGTTGTCTTCTGACTTCTACACTTGTATCATAGTATGCACACCCCTCCCACACACACTTCATACACACACAATTTAAAAAAAAGGACAAAGGGAGCTGGAGAGATGGCTCAGGGGTTAAGAGTACTAACTGTTCTTCCAGAGGTCCTGAGTTCAATTCCCAGCAACCACATGGTGGCTCACAATCATGCCCCCTTCTGGTATGTCTGAAGACAGAGACAGCGACAGTGAACATTGTGCTCACCTAAAATAAATAAATCTTTTTTAAAATACAAAAGGAGAGAGAAGGGAAGGAAAGAAAGAAGGAAGAAAGGAAGAAGGGAAGGAAGGAAGGAAGGAAGGAAGGAAGGAAGGAAGGAAGGAAGGAAGGAAGAAAAGAGGGAAGGAAGGAAGAAAAGAAGGAAGGAAGGAAGAAAAGAAGGAAGGAAGGAAGAAAAGAAGGAAGGAAGGAAGAAAAGAAGGAAGGAAGGGAAGAAGGAAAAGGACAAAAATCTAGGATAGCTCTAAGGGTCTGTCCATTGAGTAGAAACAGACCTTTAAAACATTTCCACCCCGAAAGGCAGGAAGAATTGTGGGACATGGTGAACCTTTGATAGAAAAACTTCATAACAGCTCATGTGTATGTGGTTACAACACAAAACCATGTACTAGATACAGACCAAAGACCAGCAAATCCCATCAACCCAGGACCCAGAGATGGTTGCAGAACTGATTGTATAGAACTAGAGAGAACATGGGGATGAATCCAATTCCCCCATCCCTGCTGTAAATCCCAAATCCCCAGTCCCCTGACCCCTGTCTCCTGTCCACCTTTTCAGCTTTCCCAAGGCAGCTGCTAGATATACCTGCCTGGCTGGTATCTAGTAAGTTTTACACTTTGCACACATGGGTCCGTGAGATGTACACACTAGCTCATGCTTCTTATGAAATTTTCATCAGGGATTTCTTATTTGCCTCTCTTCACTGTATGTTATCTCTAGCTTTTCTCTACAACAAAGAAAGTGGGAGAGATGACAGAAAGAGGGACAGAGTAACAGGGTGGCGGAAAGGTGGTAACATTAATTGTCCTTTTTACTCTTGTATCTGCTTTTGTTACTGAGCTGCTGAGTCACGGGTTTGTGTGTCTGTCTCTCTAGTCCTGTGTAAGCTTGGACCGTATCTGGCACTGTGCATAAACTTAGTGACCACGCATGCGTGCACACGAGGGCACAGAACGGCTTTTGATCCTTGCCCCTACTCCACTGCTACAGAGGAAGGGACGTGCTGTGTGGCCAGACCCTGCATCTTTCTGAGGTCACACTTCCTACTCCCTCGGTAGTTAGTCCCCAGTAGCCAGCAGCTGGGAGGGTGTAGGTCTGCAGAACTAGAATGGAGTTCCCACCGAAGGGTTTGGATAGCCAGTCTCCAACGTGAGCACTGTAGGCTGGGTAACGTGCCTTCCTCCCTGCCCCGCTCACCAAAATATCTGTGCAGGAAACTCAGCCAGAAAGAAACCCAGTGAAAATGAGCTATGAAACTTGGACATCCTGGAGAAATAATATTTCTAGAGGAAAGTCTTGAGCCGACTGTCACCCTAGCTGAGGGCTGAGGTCATGAGCTAGGCAGGACCCAGCTCTTGTTTACCTCGGTCAGACCTTTCCAAGGGATTTCACAGAAGGAAAGAACTTAACCTCACCTCGCCCTGCAGCAAGAGACACAACTAGGAAATGAAATGCTGTAAAAACAAACAAACAAACAACCTTCCTCCCTGACTATGGAGACACAAGCCTGGGATTCTAGTACTCGGGTAATAGAGGCGAGAGAACTGACAATTCAGGTCATCCTTGGCTAGGTAGCAAGTTTGAGGCCAGCCTAAGCTACATGAAACCCTATCTAAAAAAAAAAAAAAAAAAAAAAAATCAACAACCCTAATCTACTGCAAGATCCAGGTCACTAGGTACACATAATAGTGGCTTTTACCCCGATGAGCCATCTTACTGGCCTTTACAATATTTCTTCACAAAGTTGTACAAACATCTCTACTATTTTTGATTTTCAAAAAAAAGAAAAATCTCCAAGGCTCTTAACCTCTTCTACCTCCACTCCATGCCATGTCCAATTCTTGGGTTCCACTAACCTATTCACTATACTTACGGATTTTCCTGTTCTGGGCTAGTTTGGGGTGCAGGATCAAGCCTTCAGCCTGAGGCCTCTCATCGTGACCCCATTAACACTAGAGAATGTGTTGGAAATGCAATTCAAAGACCACATCTTGTTAAGGATGGCTTGGCAGAAATATCTCTGTCAACATTAGCCTGGTGACATTCACTCAACAGAGACCAACTGGACACTGTGTGTAATACAACGCTGTACAATACATACAGGGATCCGAGAGTCAAGACAAGACAGACAAAATTCCTTCCCTTCCTTTCTTTCTTTCTGCTTCTAGCTAAAGCTCTAAGTAATGAAACAATCACATGCTGACTGTGCACTAGAGAGGCATGGAGACCACGGGACCGACTGGCAGAGGGTCACAGCCACTTGAGTGGCTTCTCTGTGAAGATATTTAGCCAGAGACCTGAAGGAGGAAGAGAGCCAGCCTCGTAAACATCTGGAGGAAGAAGGTGCCAGGCAGAGGCATAGGATCCTTGGGAACAAAAGAGTCTGGTGAGGGCTAGGGAGATAGCTCAGTCAGGAAAATACTTGCCATGCCAGGATGAGGACAGAGGATCAGCTGCCAGAAGGCACGTGGAAAAGCTGAGTGTCATGACATATGCTTGTAATCCCAGTGCTCGGGAAGACAGCAGCAGGCAGGTCCCTGGGCTCACTGGCCACAGTCTAACCTAATCAGAGGGTTCCAGACCAAAGGAGAGACTCTGTCTCAAAAAACAAGGTGGATAGATCTTGAGAGACAACATTCATGATTTTTCTTATCTTCACGCTCACATATGCATGTGCACTCGCATGAATGCGCACACACACACACACACACACACACTTCAAAGTTACATAGAGCAGAGGGAGCAAGTAAGTGATATGAGGCTGGGGAGAGCAGCTCCTGGGTGTCCTTTGGCCTATGGTCTCATGACCATATTCTCAGGGATGACCAAAGCTAGGGAGACCAGTGGGCATGGGAGCCAGCAGCTCCCCAGATCCTTTCAATAAACTCTACTCACCATAGGAAGTTGGAGGGAGTCTGGAGTCTCTAAAGCAGATTTCTGAGGACAGAGAGGTACATCTTCTAGGGGTGACATAATTACTTGTCACTTGTATGTGAATTGGAGGATGAGGAGAGCAAAGGGGGAGAGGGGGAGAAAACACCAGCTCATCCATCGGGATGTGACCAACTGTTAGGATACAGATAGCTACAGAATGGAGGATGAGCCAGCTAGCAAACAGGCTGGAGAGATGGCTCAGCAGTCAAGAGCACTGGCTGCTCTCCCAGAGGACCTGGATTTGATTCCCAGCATCCTCTCCTGAGCACTTCCTCTCATCCAGGCCTCATTTGGGATGTCCTAGAGGTTGAGGGGTTCACTGAACTTCATTGTGGGTGAGTCCTGACTCCCAGGAACTCTCCCCTCTCTAGGAAATAAACCTAAATAACTTCTGGGTTTAAAACATTCCCAATCTGCCATCACATCCCTCTTTGTCGCAAAGGTGTGGTTGCATCCAGCAGGGTGACAGCTAAAGCAGCTGCCACTGCCTGTTCTACAAGGACAGCTGTACTCCAAGAACTCTGGGGGGGGGGGAGCATAACTAGGGGAACCAGTATCACTTGTCCCTGTAATCATTTTCCTTCAGGTGACAGAGGTAGAGGACAGAGGAACTAAGCAGGTACACACAGGGTAGATGGGCTGGCAAGCCAGCCCTTGTCTCACTTTTCTTCAGGAATGTAATTGCCTTGGACAGCTCTCCCTGGAGCAGAAAGGAAAGGAAACTACTGTTTTGATTCACTGAGGGCTCATCCTCGGTGAAGCTCTACAAAAACGGATAAGCAGAATTTTCCATGGCCGGCTGTCCTGGCTGTAGGGCTATTGGCAAACGTGTGGTGTTTGTTGACTTTTACTTGTGTTATTTTCATTCCAGTTCAGCTGCAGCTCAGTGCGGAAAGCGCGGGCGAAGTGTATATAAAGGGGACGGAGACCGGCCAGTACTTGGCCATGGACACCGAAGGGCTTTTATACGGCTCGGTAAGTATGAGGCTGACGCCTCCAGACTCAGCCAAGGCTTGAGGTTTTCCAGAAGTCTTGTTACATGGAGTGATGCAAATGAGACACCATCAATTAGTCTTTGTTTGTTGTTTTTTCCAGTATGATTCCCACCCTCTACCTTGCCTTATTTTAGACACAGACATAAAAGAGTTTCTTGTGGTATCCTCTCAAAATACTCAGCTTATCATAGGGATGTGGGGGGAAAGGAAGGGTGGCCAGCACGTTAGTAAGTTTTCAGGCACTCATATCAGAACACCCAATCCTACCTTACCCATTCAATCCAAAAATATTTCTTGAGTGAGTGAGGGCTATATGTGTCTCTTAATGTTCTGCCAGGGGGACAGGGGGTTGCACCTATTTGCACATGAGCATCTGAGGACCAGGGAACAACCTCAGGTATCAGTCCTCAGGTAATGTCTACTTTTAAAGGAAAAAAAAAGTCAGGGTCCTCCACTAGCCTTGAACTTGCCAAGTAGACTAGGCTAGCTAGCTAGAAAACCCCAGGGTCCATCAGTCTTCTGGTACCCAGTGCTAGGACAAACACACCATTGTGCCTTACTTTTTTTTTTAAATGTAGGTACCAGACGCTGAAGTTAAGTTTACTGAGTATGTTTATCTCCCAAGCTTCTTAATGCTTTTTTAAATATAAAAATCAAAATTAGTCCTTTAAAGTTTAAAAAAATTCAATTGTATTTAAATTTGAAGATAATGTCTTCCATTCCAGGATTACCTAAAATGTTAAACAAATTTTAGGAATTCAATTCGATATTCATTTGTAAGTGCTGAATGGGCCATAAGGATGAATGAGCCACGTGGAAAAAATGGCATCTAATTGTTTGTTAGTAGTTAGATTATCTGTTCATTCCTTCTTGGAATCAGAGCTCGATGCTGGTTTGACTGAGTAAACCTTGTCTTAGTGGGAAAGGGGCAGAAATAGAGGCAATCTGACTGACCACTTTGGGTATCTCTGCTCCAAGAATTAGCAGCGACGAGAGGTCAAACCAACTTTCAAAGCTTTTGAATTCAGTGTTCCCGTCTCTGTATCTGAGCACTTGTAAGAATCTTGCCTGTACTCTGTGACTCAATCATTTCCTTTCAGGAAGATGATGCCTACAAAAAGGGCAGCCTGTAGGGCAGATTTAGTCTGGTCACGCCTTCAGAGGTATCAAATTGCCAGAGCAGCATCTGCACAAGAAGCCGGCTTAGTGCGGACACGGCGCAGTTCTCCCATGGCCCGCTAGAGGGCAGGAGAAGATGACGTCAGGTGGTTGGAGTTGGGCAGTGACTGCTGCCACACAGGAAATAGACTTTAGGGCAGTTCTTCCAATCGGCCATCAAATCAGTTAACTGAACAACCATTCCCTCTTAGACTCAACAAATGAAGCTCATGCCTCTCCTACTCTGACAAGTTGTCCACAGTGAATCTTGTCTATAGCAACTTCACAGATGGTCCAAGGAGACAGCGCACAGAACTTGCTCACTAGCTTCTAGCACTTGGGAGACACTGCATTGGCGACGCCTCTAAGACAAACAAGCAGCTAGTGTGCCCCACATACTCATTAAGTCTTAAGATCATGGCGGCTTTAGGCTTTTTTTTTAATTGAAATTAATTTTAACATTGATTCTAATAGTTTACACTTGACTACAAATGTTGAGGGAGAACTGCCTGAAACCAGTGTCCGGCAGGCTCCAGGGGGTAAAAAAAAACAAAAAGCCCTCTTCTCTTCCATCAACCGAAGCCATTATTGTAAGTCACCCAAATATGATCTTAGCATGCCATACCTAAGAGTCTTCACACATACCAAATTGACAAAGAAACATTCTAACATAGCTAAAGGGTCTACCTCATGCCCTGAACCGATTTTTGGCACACATCCATTCTAGTCTGTATAGAAGGGGTATTTTTATTTTGAAAGCCTTAGTTTGAAAACACTGTATAGCAGAATGTTAATATAGTTATCTACAGGGGTGGTAAGTGGGTGGGTTTATAATACACTAATGGCTTCCTGTATTTTCCAAATTTTCTACAATGAGTGTATGTCACCTAAGTAATTGGGAGAAAGTGTGCTAAATATAAAAATAGAAACAACCACAACCATAGGCATGAATCAAGAGCTGAGGAACACGTCCCCAGCACTGAGGCAAGTGTAGAGCAAGAAGACACAAAGCCTGGCTGAAGGATGCTGTACCTCTGAGGTGGCTGGCCAGCTCAGCCATGACTCAGCCACTCTGCTTGTCAGCTGCACCACTGTGACAGAGAAGAACAGGTGTGGAACGTGACCATCCCTACCTTCATCACTGAACACAGGCCTGACACCCACCTAGGGCCATCACAGGGTGATGCTATAACAGGCTCATGACAACCCACACAGTCTAGAACTGCCTCCTCCTTCCTTCTGTCTCAACAATGTGCCCCAGTACTAGTGTCTGGACCAAGTTCCTCCAGAGGCAGAGTCATTCAATTAAATACTATATTTATATCCTGTTTTGTTCCAGAAGGGTCCACAATGTCTCACCCAGGTGTCATTTCCCTAGACTATGGATGAATAAGAAACTGAACACTTCCTGTTGCATAGTTCCATGCTAATAAAAGCTGGAACTCTGGGGCTAGGGTGTAGCTCAGTAGTTAGCTGTTTGCTTAGCAGGAATCTGGCTCCTACCCAAGCAGGAAGAAAGAATTCTGTTAACCTACTCCTAGGTAATGAGGAGGCATCATCTGCAAAGCTCTGTGTATAAAGGGAGATACAAGGCCATGAAAGGCTAATGAGGTTCCACCTCTCTGTCCGGTAGGTCTTACACCCTAATAAAACAAACATGCCCACACACGAACAACGATGAATGATCTGATCATAAACCATGAGGAAGGGAATCACAAATCAGTGGTGGGTAAAGAGTCCATAGGGGTCATGTCACTTGAAGTGACATGTGACACAGTCAGATATGACAGGTCATCAAAAGGACAGTGTCCCACCTAAGAGTTCCCACATAGTTGCCTTATATCCAAGTTGAGAGTGTGCATTCCAAAATCTGGTACAATAAAATAATTGAAACATTGGGTTTTCTCTCTCTTAATAGATTGTAGGTAAACTGTCAGCTGATAGACATTTTCCAGGTAACCATATTATTAACATGCTTGGGCTATTTCAATAAGCCTACAGCTGCACCAGATTCTGCTCTGAGGAGGGAACTGTATCCCTCTACTGATCACCTTGCCATAGATATTTATAGCCACCATAGCCAGTACTTTAAAACCCACCCTCAAAAATAGGACTTTACATTCACTCAACTGACTCCTAATGATAAAGTCTTAGAAGTGAAATCTTAGGCTCGATGAGAATGCATGTTGTAGGGTTTGGAATATAGCCTGGTGTAAAGTACTTGCCCAGCACTTGGGGAGATTTAAGTTCAATTTACAGTACTAGAAAAGAGAGAGGAAGGGAAGAGGGAAAGGAGAGTGGGGTGGAGAGACAGGGAGAGGTGTTTCAGATTTTGATACCTATCTTCAAGCCATACCCAGAAAGATATCATAACTAATAAATGATTAATTTGGAGGGGGGGATGATATGTTTTGTTCTTCTTAGAGACAGGGTTTCTCTGTGTAACAGCCCTGGCTGTCCTGAAACTTGATCAGCCCTGGCTGTCCTGGAACTCACTCTGTAGACCAAGCTGGCCTTAAATTCACAGAGATTCCCCTGCCTGAATGCTGGAATTAAAGGTGTACACCACCATTCGTGGTCATTAATATTCTAACTTCATTTTTCCTTGGTAGGAATATTGAATACATTTTCATAAGTTTATTGCCTATTACTAAAACAGTAGCTAAGGCTGGGCATTGGGGTGCATGCCTTTAATCCCAGGACTCGAGAGGCAGAGGCAGATGAATCTCTGCAAGTCTAGCCTGATCTACAAAGCAAGTTCCAGAGAAAGCCTTGAAGAAAAAACAAAACAAGAAAATAAAAACAATTTTAAAAAACACAGCAGATAAGTAGAATATGACCTTTATAGATTATGAATTTATATCCATAGGTTCTTATACATTCTATATGTTTGAAGAAATGGGGGATGGTACTCATGAACTCAGTTGTCTAGAGCTGGGAACACAGTTCTGTGGTAGAGCACTTGCCTGCATTTAATCTCTGTCTCTCTACCAAGCAAGGAAGCAAGCAACAGTTGCCTATGGCTGCCTAGTAAGTAGGTACTGGGCTTTGGGGTTTCTCCTTTTTAAAGAAGATATGGTTTTTAATTCTTTATGATGGTGTGTAGTGGGGTAGGAGGCAGGGTTGGGGAGATGTGTACCATGTCAGAAGGTGAAGGTCAGATGACAACTTGTGGAAGCTGGGTCTCTTCTTCCAACATGTAGGTCCTCAGAATCCAACTCAGCTCATTAGGTTTTGTGGCAGGTGCTCTTACTTGCTGAGCCGTCGTCCCATGGATTCCTTGTGAATCCTTCAGAGTACAGTTCATGAACAGACTACACAGCTCCGTGGGTGAAGGAAGGCTCTGTAAAGCCTGACAACCTGAGTTAGATCCCCAGGTCCTACATGTAGAACTGACTTACACCAACTGTCTTCTGACCTCCACACATGAGTGGGTATGTGAGTGTGCTTGTGTGCATACACACACATGTTCATGCACACACACATGCATGTACACGCACATACACATACACGAATGCACACATGTACACGTACACACAAACATGCTTGCATATAGACACACATATATACAAACATGCAATAAAAAATTAAAAAACAATATTGATTCTCTTCACAGATAACAAAAGCAACTAAAATAATTAAAATTATTTTCTCTTTTTCTAAGTGGCCAGGCATGATTGGCACTCACCTGCGAAAGGCAGATGGAAGAGAAGGCAGATCAGGAGTTCAAGGCATGCCTCAAAACTACAACAGAAACACAAGGAAGTTCCAGTATATGTTCTTATGCTCAGGGCAAATTTTACACAAGTATTCATGTTCATAATGATTCTGGGGCAAAAATCACAGCCTTTTAGTGAAAAATCAGCAGTACGAAAGAAATTTCACATTTTCACACAGCTGGTGAACAGCACTCACTAACTCTTCCCCCCACCTTGGTTTCTATCCCTTTAGCAGACACCAAATGAGGAATGCCTATTCCTGGAAAGGCTGGAAGAAAACCATTACAACACTTACACCTCCAAGAAGCATGCGGAGAAGAACTGGTTTGTGGGCCTCAAGAAGAACGGCAGTTGTAAGCGTGGTCCCCGGACTCACTATGGCCAGAAAGCCATCTTGTTTCTGCCTCTCCCAGTATCTTCTGACTAGAGGAGTCTGTTCTGGGTGCTCCCTAGTTTGGTTGACCCTAAAAAAATGTTCCCTTGACCATTGGCTGCGCTAACCCTCAGCCCACAGAGCCTGAATTTTGTAAGCAGTGCTTCTAAGTAGCCAGTTCACTTTCCTGCTGAGCCCTTCCCCACCACCCCAGCACAGTTTGGAACACAGGGACCAAATTGCTTCTAGGGGACAACTGACTGGCCAGTCTAGCTCTGGGTTTGGATATCCAGATGCCTCAGGGCACAAGCTGGACCTCATGATGCAAAGATGGGGGTCATGTGAAGCATACAGAGGGGTCTGAGAAGTGGGTTCATAGTTGCTGCATGCTCTTTCCCCTTCTGAGTAATCCCTGGTTTTGAGTACCCCAGGCACTTAGCATGACTACCCTTCCCCCTACCAGCACCTCACAAATATCAGTAAAGAAACTGATAGTAAGGCTGAAAGAATTTCATGATAGAGAAAAATATCTCCCCACCCCACCCCCATGTACAGACAGGACTTAAAACTAGAAGGGAGTGTGGCATTTCCATGGATAGCCTAGAGAAGCATGGAATCTCAGAACAGAGTAAGAGGGCAAGTCTCCACCACAGGGAGTCAAGATGAACCCGCAGCCCAGCAGTCATTACCAAGTTACCAAGGAAACGTCCACAGTCAGGGAAAGAGCCCCGGAAATGATTTCTTAGTAATAGCAAGCACAGAGATCTGGGACCTGAAGAGTGGGTGTAGGAGCAAGGAGACAGGAAGGATGTCTTCAGCTGTGGATGTCAGCCTCTAAAAAGCAAGATCTTAGACGGGAGGAGGAGGAAAGAAAAAGTGAGACCATGTCACAGTGTGCTTGGCCACCGCGAAACTGGGGCTGTGGGGGTCCCAGTACGATGGCCCCAAATTGCCCATGCATTCAGATCATCTGAGGATTTTGTATGAATATGAAATCTGATTTGGTGGGGCTGGCATGGGGAGTTCTGTGTTGTGAAAAGGCCCCCAGGTCCCATAGATGCTGCTGGCTTCCCCACCATGCTTTCAAGAGCAGCCCCAGAAAATGCCATTCAAATGAAGGTTGCTTATAGTTCACCCTCTTCAGCCTCCACCGCCTGGGTTTCCCTGAATATTCATTCAGGCAGTGTCCATAGTAGTTAAGCACGGTTTCAAGGCACCTTGGCCCAGTGCCTATAAAATGCCCACTTAGAAGTCACTGAAACCACACTTCACAGAAATGTTAAATCTCGTCAAAAGTTTTTCCCAAGAGACCATTTCTGTTACCATTAATTCAGCAAACTGCCTTCCTCCTTAAAGTAAACCTGGCCCAAGTGACCAGGAAATTAGAAACACTATTCATCTCTGACATAGGACACAAATGCCGTGAGAAGGCCTTTCATACGCCAAGCCCATATACTGTGAGACTTATGCTTTCGTCGCATTTTATATAGCTTGAAGGCATTAAACGGATTTGCAATCAGCCACAGAGAATAACAACAGCATAGGATGTAAAAGCTACTTAGTTATCTAACACACTGCATTCATTCATGAGACCTTTCCTCGTTGTCTCCTACCGCGCTTTAAGTATGGGTATCTAGGGCTGAGAGATGGCTTAGCAGTAAAGAGCACACACTGCTCTTATAAAGGACAGGAGTTCAGTTCCCAGCACCCACATCATGATGCTCAGACCCAGTTCTAACTCCAACTCCAGAGACATGATGTCCTCTTCTGGCCTCCAGGGGTATTCCATGCACGTGTACAAACCCACACTCAGACATCCATGCATATACACTCTTTTAAAAATATAAACCAATGATATGGTGGCTGTGGATTAAAAGTAATTATTTGATGGAAAAATCCTTATAACACCACTGTCATATTTTAGCATGGAAGACAGATGACACTCTTGAGAGTTCAGAGTGCTAATGGAGGAACTAAACTGAGTTATTTCACACATGGTTAATAATTACATTCTTCCAGATGTGGTGGCGCACACCTTTAATCCCTGCACTCAGGAGGCAGAGGCAGGTGGATCTCTGTAAGACTGAGGCCAACCTGGTCTACATAGTGAGTTCCTGGGCAGCCAGGAGTATATAGAAAGGCCCTGTATTTTTAAAAAAAAATCATAGTAATGTTTTGCTTTTTTACAAGATAATTCATGACTTTTTTGTTTTAGTAAATCGTAGGCACACTGGAGATAATACAGTACGGTTGCCCATGTCTTTGTATGAAGATTTGGCCAGGAAAAGCACACAGAGATGAAATCTATAATATTTAGAATAGTGAGTAGTTTTTATCAGATGAACAGAACACAAGTGTAACACTGACCAAGACACATTAAAAACCACTGCACAAGGAGGAGATGGCATCTGAGACCTCAGAGACTGAAAGCACTGATGATGTAGATGGTAGCCTTAACCATCAACCTAGTCACAATCTGTGTATTTGCTCAACATATACTGCAGACCTAATGTGTGTCAGGCACTAGATATGGCCCCTGGGGACAATGTCTGTCAGGTGTCCTCTCCCTGGGCATATATTTGTAGAAAGAGATGCTGTGGATTCATTTCTTTCAGTCAGGTCAAAACATGGACTTTATAGGTTCCTACTGAATCAGCAGTATGTTCTAGAAACCCCCAACAGTGGATAACACCCACCCCACCCCAACAAAGTGACAGAGATGAACTTCGAAAAGTAAAGCCAGGGCTTTCAATGTTAGTCCTCGCAGAGGAGTGGACTAGTTTCAAATCAGGAAGAAAAAAAAAAAAGCTGTTGAATCTTGCAGAAAGGGAGCAGAGAGCCTGTCCCTGTGCCGTTGGGAACACTGATCATGGGAACATTCGGTTGTGTGCTCTCTTCCATAACTAAGTCCTGAAGCCATCTGCTTGTCACATGCCTCCTGCATGCACTCAATTCCAAGCTGACTACAACATGGTGTCCAACACTCCCTACGAACTGTGAGGAGCATATGGGCTTTTGACAGTTAGTGACACACTAGAGATGGAGCTGGGTGTTTCCCCTGATGGCCAGCAGTGTGTCCATACAAACCTAACTGGTACATCAGCTGCCATTGAAAATGAGGCCCCTGCTTTGCAACGAAGGCAACAGAGCCCAAGAGAACACTGCCTAAAGCAATCATGGTCCCCGGCTGCAAAGCAGGCTCTGATGGAGATGACGCCTGACCTTCACTCTGCGCCCATACTGTATTACACTCTATACCTTATCGATATTAATAAATGTAGTATTAATGGGTGACTTGTCTCCAGGTTTCTAAGAATTGCTCTGTGGAAGGACACTGGGCATCCCTGAGGTGAAATTCAGAATCCCTGAGATGACATCAGGTGTCCAGAGGAGTCAGAAGCTGCTTCGTGTTCTACCATCATCTTACTATTAGAAAGGAGATACTAAAGGCTAACACAGAAGCTAAGATACAAAAGTTTCACATTGTTTGGAAACAAGGCAATAGGAGAGATTTTCTAGGTCTCAGAAAATCTGAGCAGGTACTCTTCATGACTTGGGCCTTTTCTCCCTTGTATAAGGTATGTGAGATCACACTACTGTTATCAAGTTAACATGCTTCTGCTTAGGCAAAGATATTATGAACAGGAAAAAATTAAGGATTTATTTAAAATTTTAGGTCCAATGTCAAAAAACTACACACCTTTAAAACCTCTGGTGTGAGACTTAGGAAGAAGTATTCTGTTCCCTAGTATATGGCAGAGTTATGCTCTCTCTCTCCCTCCCTCTCTCCCTCCCTCCCTCCCTCCCTCCCTCTCTCCCTCCCTCCATTCCTCCCTCTCTCTCTCCCCCCCCCTCTCCCTCCCCCACTCTCTCCCTCTCTCCCCCCCCCCTCTCTCTCTCTCTCTCTCTCTCTCTCTCTCTCTGTCACACACATACACAAACATACACACACACATATACACACACAGTTATTCATGTACAAAAAACAAAAACAAACAGATGCAACATGCACTCTGTCTTAGTTAGGGTTTTACTGCTGTGAGCAGACACCATGACCAGGGTAACTCCTCAAAGGACAACATTTAATTGGGGCTGGCTTACAGGTTGAGTGGTTCAGTCCATTGTCATAAAGGTGGGAGCATGGCAGGAATGGTGTAGGAGGAGCTGAGAGTTCTACATCTTCATCTGGAAGGCTGCTAGCAGGATAATGGCTTCCAAGCAGCTAAGGTGAGGATCTTAAAGCCCACACCCACGGTGACACACCTACTCCAACAATGCCACACCTCCTAATGGTGTCACGCCCTAGGATAAGCATATACAAACCAACACACACTCACTCTGTAATTACAATCAATCCTTCCTTCTCATTCTAATATTGAATTAAGTGCTGGCAAGAGGACTCCACAGTTAATGGTGCTTGCTGTGTGAGCCTGGCAGCTTAAGTTTGATCTCTAGAGCCCATGTAAAGATGAAAGGAGAGAATCCACTCCACAGAGCTGTGTATCATGGCATATGTACTTGATAATACGAAAAGGAGGAGGAGAAGGAGGAGGAGGAGGAGGAGGAGGAGGAGGAGGAGGAGGAGGAGGAAAAGAAGAACAAGAAAAAGAAGATTGTACGTTGCCTTAAGTGGTACTTTAGAGTTTTGAAGCTCTCCCACCCACTGCCAGAACTCAGAATACGAAACCTCTACACATACAGACAGCTGAAACACAATTTTAAAAAATGTATGGGGTACATTGCGTTCTTTCTGTGAACTCAGAGGTGCTGGTCAAGCATAGCTCAATTCCAAAGTACAACTTTAATGGGTCACAACCACAGTTTGAAAAATGCTAACCTAAAGCAACCATTCTCCTTTCCAAAGACGAAGAGGCCCAATTAGGATTCTGTGCTCTGACTGTAGTGTTTACAAAGATGTGGCTCACTCTCAAGTAAATAGGACAGAGAACTTCCTGTGATACAGGCACCATCTGTTCTAAGGCTCCATGTGTTCTCTGAGCCCTGAGTGACACAAAGTGAACAAAATGATGAGATGCCCAAGCATCTCTGCGGCCTCCAAAGCAGGCAAGCCTGCACAGTTCTGCTGTGGGAATCCTGGAGACCCAAGGCCACTTCCTTCTCCCTGAGAATTCTCACACTTTGGCTCTTACTGTTATCCCTCGCTGGCTCCCAGTCTTTATCTCTCTAATCATTCTTGGTCCCCAGGGGAATCCAATTTCATCATTGTTTCTATGAAATTTGTGAATGGGCTGAGCCAGGAAAAGGCTATAAACCTGGGGCCTTTGAGTATCTGTTTCTGGAAATGACCTTCTCACCACTTATCTGTCTAAACACGTACAAAAAATTTACCAACATGACTGAGTCAATGGGGTAAACACCATTTCTGCTATAATGTAACCTCATGGGGCAAACACCATTTCTGCTACAATGTAACCTGGATGTGGAGTTTGGAATTCCTACTTTTGATAAGCCAACTTTTAGAAGGTAACTCTGTGCCTTTCAAATGTTTGAGGGGGTGGGACAGCTGAGACTCTGCCTCTTAGGGGTGCATTTGACTACAAAGAGCAAAATAGAAACAAAGTCATCACTTCTGATGCTTATATGGTAGAACTCCTGTTTGCTGAAAAGCTGGGCAGAGGAATCCCAGGTCTGAAGCACAGGGAGATTCCTGTCGTATTGGAAACCATAGCAACAGCACTCTTCATAAACTAACAGCTTTTTCCTTTTCCCATTTTCATATGTGTATAAAGTGGTGTGGATGCATGTTTTGGATGTGTGTGGGCATACTTGGGGTATGCACGCACATGCGTGTAGGCATGCATGTAGAAGTCCAAGGTTGTTGACAGAAATCATCCTCTATCACTGTATTACCTTAGTCATTGAGACAAGGTCTCTCAATCAACCCAGAGTTCACTGATACAGCCAGTCTTGCCATCAGGCTTATCTGGGGACTCTCTGTGTCTCTACCTTCTAAAGCTGGAATTATTACAAGCAGACCATCCCAGTCATCTGGCATCTATGTATGTACTGGAGATTCAAACTCCATCCTCACGCATGCAGTGTGAACACTTTAACCACAGAGCCATCTCCTCTAGCCCACAAGAGTTGTCAGGAGCAATTATGACACAGTAGGGAGACTGAAGGCCAAATGAACTGTGAAACCTACATATTCTCCATTTCAAAGGCACCAGTGGTGATTTTTCACAATCGTTAAAATAACATAATCCTCCTCCCAAACCCATCCTCTACTCCCTAAGAGGAACGTCCTTTCACTATTGCATGTAAGACTTATTCTAAATTTCAGCTAGAACTGAAGGTATGAGGATGCAGCATCAAGCTGGCATACAAACATTCCCTCGTGCTCTGGGGATCTGTGCTAGAGGACAGCTGGAATCTTCCTGAAACATTAGTCCTACTTTGTGACTGACATAGTGACCACAGCATAGTACACTGTTAGCTTTACACCATGGCTATTAAAACAAGAAATGAGGTCACACACTGCCCGAAGCAGAGAAGGGGTTTACTTTATCCAATCACATACTGTAGGATGTGATCACATAATTTGGGGGTCTTCTGATGGGTTACAAATGTTTGTGATGTGGGGAGAAGGTATTTCCCAAATTGCTTCCACCTCCTACCCCATCATGCCACACAGGCTAAATTTATACATGCAGCAGCTAAGCACTGGTATCCGTCTTATTACAAAAACAAGCAAAACCTCACCCAGCCTTAGCTGTGCTTTTCCTTCAGCCTTAATGAAGGGTTGGGTCCTCCCTGCTGGGAACTCTGTTCTGTTTAAGAAACTGATCTGCTTGGTCCAAGTGTTTGAGGATGTGACTGTAGAAAGGCAATTTATACAGAAATAGACTTTGCTGTGATTTTCACATCTCCTGGTTTCCTATCACAGGAAAAACGATGTGTAGAGTCTGGCCCAGCAATACATTAAATATAAGATGTTAGATTCTCTTATCCGTATGCCTTAGCCAAAAAAACCCGCTTTCTTCTCTGAAGTAGGTGAGAGGAATGTTCTTATAGACCAACTAGTTCTGTGTGAGATGGAAAGACAGGAGTTTTTGAGCCTGGGGGTAACCAACTGTGTTAAGCATCCAGCTTAACATTTCCTGTAAAAATGAATAGGAAAACTGATGACTCTCTAAAAATAGAACACCTGTGTTAAGACCTGGACAATGGTACAGGCTCTGGGTAGGCCAGGCTTTCTCTGACACTGCAGAGGCTCCAGGAAGGCTGGGAAGAGAGGATACATGCAATGTACATGTGGTGCTGCCAGACTGTCACTCAATATTTAAAAAAGAGAGTTGAGTAAAAAAGAGAGATGAGGTTTAAGACTGCTTGAAAATGTGCGTGACACCTAGTCCTCTGGGGCAAATCTGAGAGGCCATGGGGCACCCAGCACCATCCTCCAAAGCAACAGCAGAAGTCAAAGCATCTGTGGTACACAAACTCATCCACTGATTAATCATTTACCCTCTACCCTCATAGGAGTCAGGTGCAAGCAGGAGATGGTATCCATATCAATGATATGAACAGGGAGATTGCGATGGCTAAGGGAGGTGAAGAGACCTCTAGGGAGCAGCTACTATTCCTGGAGTTGAAGAGAGGAAGGAACTCAAGGAAAGAAAACTTGAAACTGGTGTCCTGTCATGGAAGAGATACTGGCTGTGCTGGTGCAGCCTGTGCCCTGGCTGCCCAACCCTACTTGCCCTTGGGGACTGGAGGTGAGGTAGCTCAGAAGCCACACAGAACAAGTGAGAAACCCGACAGCAAGCTTGT